TCCCCTCCCCTTCCCCTCCCCTCTCCCCCTCTCCCCACCCCTGTTTTTCAGACAAGGTCTCACTGTGTAGCCCTGGCAGCCCTGGCCTGGAACTCACATTATATAGACCAGACTGGCCTCAAACTCAGAGAGATCTTCCTGCCTCTGCCCTACAGGTGTGGACAACCACACCCAAAGAGCCATTTTCTTTGCAGCTGGTATTGTCTCTGGATGTGAATGATAACCGTCAACTATTTGTCCTAAAAGAGCCTGTCTTAGGTCAGAGGAAGCTAGCTTCTAACTATTTCTCTCCCAGACAGATGGCAAACCATTTCTCTTCTTTTGGGCTCTATTTCCTCTTCTGTAGAATGAGGAGACTTACTCTAAGTCAGGCTTTCCTTTGTGATTTATAAAAGATGACCCCATTTATGGAACTTGTGCTGCTCCAGCCTGGTGGATAGTAGGGACTTTGCTGTTCATAATGAAATTTACTTTTCCCTTGACTGATGAGGATGATTCATGTTTTGAGTCCTTATGTGGTCTGGGAAACTAAAATATAGGAACGGGCACTCTGTCTGGCCTGCTGAAAACTGAAGACAAAAACCCAGCCAGAGCGAGCAGTACTGTAAAATCTGCTGCTCCCTAAATATCCACTCCAGCATTTTGGTCCAATGCAAGATCCCTTCTTTTTGTATCTTTAACTATGTGACTTTGATTTGAAATAATTACATAATTTTAAGTTTCTTTCATCTATGTTTGTTTAAAACCTAACTACGGTGTGTTTTCTTCTTATTCAAGAGATTTTTTTTTTTCATGTGTCAGGACTTTAATACTGTGCACATCAACTATAATCAAGACAACTACAAGAGGCACCTCTGTCCGTGAACACTCGCTGCATTACAGTAAGCCGAGTTTGTACTCCACCATCAGGTGTGGCTCACCAATTAGTTCACTTTGTGATGGATCATTAAGAATATTCTCAAGGGGCTGGAGAGATGGCTCAGCAGTTAAGAACATTGGTTGTTCTTGCAGAAGACCCAGGTTCGAATCCCAGCACCCACATGGCAGCTAACAACTGTCCGTTAACTCCAGTCCCAGGGGATCTGACACCCTCTTCTGACCTCCGTGGGCATTGCATGACGTGGGTGCACTTACCTACATGCAGGCAATACATGCATACACATAAAATTAAAAAATTACAGAGTGTTTTTTTTTTTTAAAGAATATTCTCAAAACTAATGTCTTATCACTTCCCCTCAGAATATCCAGTGAGAAGTTTGAGCTTGAAAGATATGAAAGATATTGAACTGCTGGACTGTCTTAAATTCCATTTGTAATTTCAGTGGAGCAAGATCCTGGATGATCCTCAATGTGGAAAAACTGTTTTTATCTTTGTTGAGCTGAAATTTTTTTTCTGATAGTTCAAGAAGATGACCGGGCAAAAGTTCATTTTTCACACAAGAAAACGCTTTCTGAAGATCCTGACTCTCAAAAGGCCCACTTGCTGGAAGTTCAGTAACTGGAATGCTGTCTCTTAGCGTTGATCCAAGTCCTCTGGGGTTCATATTGGCCTGGCTCCTTGGACAGCCTTTCAACCTGATAATGTGAGCCTGCCACACTGTTCAGTTCCGTTTCCACCCCCCCACACATACCATTCAAGAAATGTTTGATTAGGCCATAGCTGCAAAGAGGAAAATACCAATTTATACAAAGTTGGTTTTTTTGGGGATTTTTGAGACAGGGTCTCCCTTTAGTTACAGCTGGCCTCGAACTTACAGAGATCTACCTGCCTCTGCCTCCTGAGTGCTGGGACTAAAGGCATGCGCCACCACCTCCAGCTAAAACTATTCTTGAAGGAAGTTTTTCCCTTTAGTTATATAATGGATGGGTGAAAAGTTGGGTGAACTATAGTGCAACTTCATCACAGTCATGTATTCAATCCTGTATCTCTGTGACAATCTGTGGTTTATGCATGTGGTATATGCATGTATGTGTGTGCATGTGGAAGTTGACATTGAGTGTCTAGTGTCTGCTTCAGTCACTCTCCACCTGTTTTGTTTTGTTTTGTTTTGTTTTTTTGAGGCAGGGTCTCCCTAGCAGTCTCACCTGGCCTAGAATGTAGACCAGACTGGCTTCAACGATCTCAGAGATCTGTTTGCCTCGGTGCTTCCTGAGTGCTGGGATTAAAGGTGTATGCCACTATGCCTAGCATTCCACCTTAGTTTTTGATATAAGGTCTCTCACTGAACCTGGAGCTCACCAACTGGCTAAACTGGCTGGCCAGCAAGACTCCAGTATCCTCCTGTCTCCATTTCCCAGCTGGGGTTAAAGGCCTATGCCACCATGCCTGGCTTTATGAAGGTCCTGAGGATCTGAGCCCCAAGTTTGCTTGCACAGCATAGCACTTTATCCATTGAGCCATCTTCCTGATGCATCTTAAGCATCTTAAGCAGGGAACTCCTGCAGGACACATGCTCCAGGTAATTGGCAAGTGGATGACATAGATAACTATTCCCATAATTGGACCCTGGTTGTGAGGAGCATTGCTCTTTAATTTATTCTTGACTGAACCATATAAATGAATTTTTAAACAACTGAAGCTACCAGTATAAACCTGTGGTTTTTCTCTAACAAATGCTATTTACCAAGCCAACATTTCTTAGGGTCAGGGCTGCAGCTGTACCTCGTTGAAGAGACTGCTCAGTTCATCTGTGTTACAGTTCATTTGCTTCCCAGGTGCCAGAACTAGCTTCCGAGGCAGTAGTGCTGGACTAGAGTGCAAATGTGAGGATTCTAGCAGCCATACTCCTCCTGTCAGTTATCACTATGATTGCCTGGAAACCTGGTCACTGTGAGTAATAGCCAAACACCTCAGGAGATCTAAAAGCAGTGAAACTGCACTCCCAGCTTTGCATGGACTTTGTTGCCATCTGCTTGGCTGTTAGAAGCCTTCCTTCCTGGTTCTTAAGGTGCAGTGGCCAGTTGTAGATGAACAGATAGAGGAACCACAGCTAGATAGATAACAAGTATTTCTTGCCCTGGTTCAGTTTTTCTGTTTCTCATTTTATCAAAGATCTAGGTTTGTCAAACAGCATTTGTTGTGATTTTACTGTAGTTCAAAACTGAAGCTACTGCACTTTAAAGCTCATTTTTTTATATTTTTTAATTTCATATTTATGAGCGCTTCGTCTGCATATATGCAAGTGCATCTGTGTGATGCAGTTCCTGTGGAGGCCAGAAGAGGGTGTCAGATCCCCTGAAACTGGAGTTACAGATGGTTGTTAGCCACCATGTGGGTGCTGGGAAACAAACCCTGGCCCTCTACGAGAGCAGCCAATGCTCTTAACCACTGAGCCATCTCTCCAGCCCCCGGAGTTAATTTTTAATGTATATATTTTATCCAAGACTGGTCATATTTTCAGTTTATATAAACAATTTCGCTGTCTACTAGGACCATTAACTAACTACCAGTGATTTTAAGATCACTTTCATCTTCACGTTTTTACCCTCTTGTTTCTTTTTAATGGACTCCAACTCTTACTTCTTCTCTGTTTTCTTGTTTCGTAGATCAAATCCAGAGCAAGGACTGTAACAATCTTGTTTTCTACATTTGCTTAAGTGAACTTTGCTAGAGGACAGACCTTTCTGACCCAAGATTACCCATGGCCCAAACGTTAGAGCCCCTAGCACCTCCATTGGGCAGCTTACTGTCTACCTCTATGGTGACTTCCCTTTGAATTTGAAATTTGTTCTGACTTGTGGTGTGTTCATATTTTTACATCCTATTTATGAATTATGGCCCCAATCTTCCCTTCTTTCTTTGATCCCTCCAGCTTGCTTTTAGTGAAATTGTTATGAAAGATCTCAATTTGCCTTTTGTTTTAGGATAGGTTCTCTTTTCAAGGGCTAGATTGAGGATAGCTTGTTGATGATTTAGGGAGCATTTTTGTTTGTTTGTTGTAGACAGGGTCTCTCAGTGTATTACACACTGGCCAAAAACTCTTGTTCCTCTTACAGAAGCCTCCTGAGTGCTTAGATTACAGGCATGTGCCACCATGTTTGGCTTCTGCTGCTCCTTCTGAAACAAGATCAGCTGGCTCCTTCTGAGATGCCGCTCCCACATTGAATGTGCTCTGCAGTGGGAAATGGTTTGCACTGGTACACTGAGGATAGATCTCTCTCTTCCAAGAGGCTCCTTCCCCCACCCCCCACTGCCACCAGCAGTTGCCTGTCACCTCTCTGGTTTATTTCCTGTTTGTGATAAGCGCCACCCTGTTCTTAAATACATTTTCCTTGGGTTCTTTGCATAGAGGTTCTGTTGGTTGTCAGCTAGAGTCCAGAGCTCTAGCCTCGGCCTCAGGTAGAAGAAGAGGAGCGCAGGGAGGGAGCCTTCCTTTCCCTCAGGAACTGGTCGTGCCAACTGCGACATCTCGTCTGGTACCACTGCCTCTGAAACTGGTTCTGGTACCTAGTTTTGCATTAAGGTGAAAGGCGTTTTGTTTTTTTCAATTTTGTGGAGCCACTAAGCATTCACGTTTGAATGCCCTAGTGGTGCTCAGTGAGCCAGAACCTTTTGGGTCATGACATTACTTTGCCAAGTCAGTTTGCTGCAGAAAACCAAGAACAGTGAGCTGGTGCCTATGGAACTTGGCTTCCTGTGTCTGACCTGACCTTCCTCCTAAAGTCTAGTAGGCTTTACGTGGAGTGGCTGCGCTTTCAAATATGCTTTCCTTGAACTTGATTGATGGGAATGGATTTGGCTGACTGCTCACAGGGTACGATGGAGTAGAACTGTGAATTCCAAAATGAATTTTAAATTAGTGGTTTGTGGGTTTGGAATAAAGTAAGAGTTTTGTTTTTAAAATAAGAATCCTAGTTCTTTGGACACTGTTCCTACAGAGCCATTTATCTCCTTGTCACTCGTAGCCTTTTATTTAACAATGGCGTAACTATTACAAGTAAGAGCATTTTTAAAAGGAAATGTTGATCTTTGATTTGCATTTATTCTTTAAGTTTTCACTCAATAGTTATTGAGATCCTGTATGTTAATAATTAGTCATGGAATGAGTGAGCATTTAAAAGGTTTGAAGCTGTATGTCTAACAGGATTTTCGGTTCTGTATTTGATAACCCTCAGTAAGTAGCTGTGCCTCTTTGAAGAGAATAAGATCTGTGTTGTAAATAGGGAACCCAGAGACCTGGAAATTCCACTTTGAAGGCACGGCAAAAGGTGGGCCAGCTTCAAAATGGAGCTTTCTTTGCAGTCTGTGCTGAGGTTGTTTATAGTCAAGAAGAGAGTGTGGACAGTTCTTCTAAGACATCCACTTAACTTATCAATTTAGTATTGATCAGAGTGGCAATCTGTGAAAAGGGGATCAGTAGTTAAAAGACTATTTCTTTGCCACAAGTTATCTTCCTTTCAGGAGTTGCATATTTATTCTTACACTTCTTATTTCCAAATGAATGGTCTTACTGAAAAACATTGTGTTGTTTTCTAGGGAAGGATCTGTCATCTCGGAGCAAAACAGACTTAGACTGCATTTTTGGAAAAAGGGGGAGCAAGAAGGCAGCCCAGGTACCCAGCCGTGGTTTTTCATCTTGTTTGGTTCCAAAGAGCATAGGAACGTCACACTTACCCCTGAAACCTCCCCAATCCAAATAGCAACATCAACAAAACTACTTATAGAGGATTCATACAAAAACTGAATTGTCCTCTTAATAGATACGTGGTATGTATGTTTGTTACATCTGATGTTAGGACTATATCAGATGCAGGTAAGAATGCCTATTGCTGATATAATTTAAAGGAAAAATACATCCCATCGCCAGGAAGGGGAGGTCACATGGAGAGACTTTATTTTGTTTTTATTTGTTTGGCTCAGACTTCATGACTCTTTGGGTAAGAAGTGGGTAAGAAGAATATCTTCCACACTCTGGAGTACCCATCAGATCCACTTGAGGACCTTCACAGTGTTAGGCCTACCCACTGAAACCTGGAGCGTTTCAGTGGGTAGACCCTCCATTGTACATTATGGTTTGTTTCAAACCTGGAAGATTAGAATTGGGTGACTAAACTCCCTACTGAATGGGACAAACCCGTGATTTATAATCCTGATGATTCAGTTGGATTGTGTAGTGCATAGAATTTTTGTACTGTTTCCAAATGTAATAGACAGCCTTGTATATAATTTTGAAGTGAAAATATTAGAGATTTTGAGCTCTGGATTTCTGAAGATAGTGAAAATTGGTATAAGAACATCTGAAATAGCTGGGCGTGGTGGTGCACGCCTTTAATCCCAGCACTTGGGAGGCAGAGGCAGAGGCAGGCAGAGGCAGAGGCAGACAGATCTCTGTGAGTTCAAGGCCAGCCTGGTCTACATAGCGAGCTCCAGGTCAGCTTGGACTATAGAGAGACCCTGTCTCAAAAAGACCAAAAAAAAAAGAACGTCTGAAATACATGGTTACTACCGTTACTCAGTGGATCTGATGTGTCATATTTATGTTCCTTTATTGGTTTCTGGCTAAAGCCTTTGGTGGCCATAGAACAAAAAGACAACTTCTTTTGTTTGTCTTTGGGGTTTCTCCAGACTGACTGACAGGAAGTCTTTTTTTACCCCCAGGGTGGCAGATACTTTTATTTATGTTTAGGGCCTCTAGAATTACCCCCAGTGAGTGGTTTCGTTGGGCTGTTTCCTTTGCAGGTTGGGGCTGAGTTTCAAAGCTCCTAAAGCCCAGAAAACTTCCTCATAGGAGAGGAGAGGCTTCTAACCCTGAGTCAGACTTCTATCCGGTCTATTCATGGTCCTCATAGAGAGCCTCAAGCAAATTGCCAGTGCTTGGCTCCCATCCCAAATCAGTTACAGCCAAGTTCAGGGTTAGGTGCAGGCATCAGAATTTTTAAAATAGGAGAAAATTGTTTAAAATATTTTTTTAGGGCTAAGGAGATGATGGTTCAGTGGATAAAGTGAAGTTAGCACCCCCAAAACTCACATAAAAAGTTTGGTGGGTTTGGTGTCCCACCTGTAGTTGCAGCTGGGAGATGAGATGGTGGTTGAAAGGGGGATGTGTAAGACCAGAAATCTCTGGGATAAGCCAGACTAACTGAGCGAGAGACCCTGCCTCAATGTATAAGGTAGAGAGCAATGGAGGAAGAAACCAGACATCAACCCCAAGCGTACACGTGTACACATACACTCACGCACATCTGGACACACATGAATAGGCATACATACCATACATGCGTAGGCAAAACCAAAAACCAAATTTAGTCTCTCCATCTGATCCAGGCAAGGACTGCAGTGTTTGGTAAGGAGACAGGGTTAAGAGTACCAGGGAGGCCCAGAGACAGCCATACTGAGAGAGCTGCTCTACTGTTGCCCCTGTGGCTAGAGCTTCTTTAAAACTTTATATACCCAAGTCACTCAAGAAACTTGTTGAACTGCAGATTCTGGTTCCCAGATCTGAGCCAGGCCTTAATAGTCTGCATGTCTGTGGGATCTGTGACTGTTGTTAGTCCAGGTACACAATGAGGAGATGGGCCCTTGTATACTTACACATGTATGCAGAAAGCAATCTAATTAATTATGCTTAATACAGCAAGCAGTTGTCACTCTAAGCAGAGTCACTTCCATCTCTGGCATACATTGGGCTTTGTACACTAAGGTATGGCTATACCTCTCTTGAACAAAGTGTTGCTAAGAAACCTTATGGTGTGAGTTATAACAGCCTGCACAGCCAAGGGCAAAAGGTCCTTGATCGGGTTGGTTTGAAAATACTTCTTTTGGCTCTTCTTCTCAGTTGGATTGTTGCTGTGTTTTCCTCCCTTGACCTCCATGGCAACATTGGCTTGAATTTATGTTTGGCATTGCCAAGCATTGTGTCTAATGATTTCATTGTATCTAATGAAGAAATTGATCTATGGTACTTTACACGTGGACTTTTTCATCTGTCAAGTGCAGGTAGCTGAGACAGTGAGCAACTTAAAAGACAAAGGACTTTCCCCAGAATGGGCCTGATCCAGTGTGGCACATGGTAGGGGTTCAGCAAATTGTTATTTCCTCTTTCTTAAAAAATGGACTTACTTTTAATGTATTTTAAAAATCATTGTTTGTATAACTTTGGGTCAGGTATTTGAAATATCTTTTCCTTTTGAAATGTTTGTTCAACAAATATCTTGTCTGAGAACGGGAGCTATGCATCAACCTACTTTCTATGCCACACACATTTACTGATGTCCATAGTAGGTTCTGGAGAGAGGATTTAGTGAATATTTCCTCATGCTAGTTTGTTTTTTGTTTGTTTGTTTGTTTTTTAAAAAGCCCAGTTTGTTGGCTTTCAGACATTGTATCTCAGGCTAGGATAGTTTTTCATAGTGTTAACTGTTTTCTTGTTGCTATGGAAGTTAAAGTATCCACGTCACCATAGGGATTCTGTTCTGACTTTATTGGTACTTAGCTTTTCTTCCAGCTATAGAGGCTGCAGGGTGCAGAGCGCAGTTCTGTCTGAGGCTGACTGTTTAGAAGTACTTGCGTGATGAATGGAGGAGCATTGCAAACTGCATTACTCAGAGAACCTTTGATGAGCTGCACTGTGTGGAATGGCTGGCTGTGCTTGTCTAATTTTCAAGTCCTTCCTTTCCTCAACTTTGTGCTACAGTACTTGGAAGAGTGTGAAATGTTCCTAAATTGGAACTGCCTGCACCCTTTTCAGAGACAAATAAATGGCCCAATATATTGAGTTGAAATTGCTTGGGCCTTGAGAGGTGCTTGTTATGGCTAGGAGTTGTCTGTGTGTTCTTGTCTGTGTTTGTTTTCTCCCTTGGTTTGCAGATTGAAGTTGGAGACACTGAAAAATAAATTCCATTAGTTCCTATCTGGTTGAACTTCCTGATACTCCTGGTGTGTTCCCCCTCTCATTTTTTCCCTCCCCCACCTTCCCAGTTTCCTTCCTCTATCCAGCTTATTTCCTGATTCAGCCTTATCACTAGAGAAAATACTCCTAAACCATATCGAGAGTTGGAAATGTGTTACTAACAGTTTCACTTTGTTTTTTTAAACAACAGGCCTCTGGCATAGGCTCTTGGCAAGTAATTGTCCACGGCTTCAGCTGTATAACTGAGTCAGAACCTTGTTTTGTATTTTGCTCTCGTAGGCTCCCCAGTTCGTGATGGCTGTCTGCATGATTTCTCTGTAGTCTGTACCTCCCTCATATCACATGCCCACTTTCCTGTCTCAATGATTTCAGTCTGAAAACTATCTCCATGTAGACGCTTCTGTTGGTTGGATTCATTGGCTGTTTTAGATATCCTTTCTTCTGCTTGGATGCAGTAGCTTATATCCCTGATGGAGAAGATGATGGCAAAAAGAACTCATTTCTTCAGAATGTTCAAATAATTCTTACTTAAACTATCTTTGAATTGAAGGCTGTTTCTCCTTTTGCGCTGGATTTTCATCTTAATGACCTATACTACTGTGCTAGGTTAGGTTTTGCAAATGGCTTATAAGATGAGGCTCTCCCTTTCTGTAGTATCTTACATGCCCACCTTGCTCACTCACTGCAGAGGGCACCAGAAGGGCAGGTGACTCTGTCAGCATGGTTGTTTATGGACTTCTGTAAAGAACCTTCTAGTTAGAGATAGATTTGACCTAAGCTCATAATGTACCATATGATACCCTTTTCTGGATTTTTTTCCCATCAATAATGGCTTCCATAATACTTGTCATTATTTGACAGTTGATAACAGAATCCAAATTCAAAATAGTGTAAGTTGTGACATTTAGCCCAAACTATTTTTTTACTTCTTTAAGATAAAATTTTATTAGATATATAAAGTCTCATTGGATTCTGAAAACATCTAATTTGGTAGCACTTATGTGAAAATTAAGTTAAAGGATAGGTCATATAACCTGACCCCCGTTTAACGCAGGCTGAGTTGTAGCATGTGTCTGCTTGAACATAGGCAGGATCTCCAGTGCGAGGGCTGCACCTGTGTGAATGCCATAGGCCTTTTGCTTGTTTTCTGCTTGTAGGCTGCCTTGTTCTGTTCAGAACTGGGCAGTGCAGTATTTTAAAGGAACATGCTTGGAACACATTTGAGATCAAAGATTTCTGGAAAGCGTGCTCTGCACTGGAACAGGTGACAGAATTAGGCATGTTTAGCAGGTGACCAATTAGGGAAAAGGAAGCAGGAGGGCTGCTAGTTAGACCCATAGAGAGATTTCTGCTCAGGGAAAGGAAGCAGCCCAGGCCGACCACTGTCCAGCCAAGGATGCACTTTGTCAGGTTCTGGCAGGAGATCTTGTACGGGTAAGAGCGAGTTAAAGCCTCTGAGCGCTCAGCCCTTACTCTCTGATTCTGGAGGAAGAACATATGGAATCACCCATGTGACTTACTGCTGACATGCCAGATTTGCCTCGAGGTTTCGGGTTTTCCTAGGCTGCTAGGAAACATTACTTGATTTTTCTTGTTTCTCATACTGGACTACTGGACTTTGTCCTCTTATGTTTTCTCTGGGGGATAGTTTTGAAATACCTTTGGGTATTCAAACCAGAAATAAATAAGCTTGAGGAACAGTAG